AGGAAGCCCCTGCCAACACCATACCTGCACTCTAGGACCAGGAGCTCAGAGAGCCCAGTCCTGAGAGGTGGCAGAGGGCAGGGCCACTAGGGCTCCGCCCACCCCCCTGGCACTGAACTCAGCAAGGCCTTTTGACTAGCCCTCTCTAGGCTGGGGTAAAAGGGCCCCTTGTCTCTGTGACCCACAATGGCTACCAGACAGTGGTGGCCTGGGAAGGAACAGCTCCCTGAACCCTGCAGCCCCCCAGCTTCTCGGAAGGGGGGTGCCTTCTGCAGCACTGAGGACAGCGGAGCTTGCCTTTAATTAAAACTCTCATCCTTTAATTAAAAGCTGTAACACATGAAGGGCATTCACTGAAATATGAGAGTGACATAGTCATTACTCTGCTGTTAATAACTAATTAATGAAGCTATTTCAATTAATAGCTTCCCACATTGTTCCCCTCCAACAGGACACTCCTGCTGGGGCAAGTCCCCAGCTGCCGTCCTGCCCCAAAATATTCAGGCCACAGAGCATCTGCTCAATCAAACATGAAAGTCAGCCCCCGCTAGCCAGGAGTGCATCCTGTGTGCCCCTCACCCCAAGTGGACAGAGTCTACCAGTCAGGCACCCCAGCCAGGGCTACTCCCCCAACCTTGGCAGGCCCCCTTAAGGTGCAGGGACTGAGGCCCTGAGGCAGTGGGTGAGGGCCCCACTTCCCCATTCCACATCCGGGGATCTGGCCTCCCCAAACCACATGTCAGCTAAATGACTGACAACTGTGAGGGGTCTTTAACACACTAATGTGTCTCAGTGAAGTCAAACAGCCTCAACAGGGGAAGCAGGAGCCTTCCCTGGAGTACGTGTGAATGAATGTAAGTGTGTATGTGAAAGAGAGAGGCACAACTGGGGAGTGTGTACACACACACACACACACACACACACGAGGGAATGTGTGTGTGTGTGTGTGTGTGTGAGAGAGAGAGAGAGGCAGCCATGTGTGTATGTGTGTGAAAAAGAGGTGCAGCCTCTGTGTGTGCGCGCGTGTGCACGTGAGAGAATGTGTGTGTGCGGGAGAGAGTGGGGGGTAGCCTGTGTGTAAGGGAGCATGGTGGACATCTGAGGGAGGACTGTGTGACCTGGCTGGGGTACGGAGCAGAGCCTCAGACATGGCCAGGGATGGGGACAGGGACAGCAGGCAGGACACCGTGACAGAAGATATGTGCTCAGGGGGACATGGCAGCAGCCAAATGGGCTTCTTTCAGAGAAAACTCGTTCCTCTCTACATTACCCAGTGATTCAATCAATGAACGTGGTAACAGCAAATGCTTAGAGCAGGTCCGCACAAAGCCAGTGGACAGCCCTGGCCACCTCCTTCCCCTCCTGCCACACAGTCTGCTGAGATGTGCCCCCTCTGTCTCTGAGGAACCCCTCTGTCCTCTGGGGTCTCCTGTCCTGCCACTGGGCCTGGGAATAGCTTCCGCTCTCCTGTGGTGACGCCAGACCAGGACGGGGCAGAGGGTTTCCTGTGAGCAGCCAAAAGGCCTTAATGGAGAGTGGGCACAACTCCCCTACCACATACACTAGCTTCTGCAGGCCCCTCCTTGAGCCAGTATCCTCCTCACAGATGCCCACCTCACGCCTGCAGCCACCAAGAGCATTGCTTCCCCTGCCCTGTTGATGACCCTCACTGCCCCATATCCTTCCAAGGTGGTCTTGAAGGGTGGGAGTTCTCTTTCAGCATGGGAACTAAAGGCTTTGTCACAGGGAGGGAGGCAGAAAGTGGGCTGCTGGCCAGTGGCCTGGCTCCTATCTCCAGGGAGTGCTCACAGCCCTGTCTGAGGGGGCCCTCTCTTGGCAAGTCGGGGAACTAACGATGGTGACCTTGTATTCTGCGATGCCCTTCAGGAGGTGGGAGCAAGTGCAGACACACAGCCACACTCATACACACATATGCCCCGTCACACATCTGTACACACATATCGGTACATACACATGCAGACACACACGTTCATACTCACAAGTGTGCACACACACACACACAACACTCACATGCACACATACCCAGTCCCAGTAACACAGCTGTACAAACATACACACACTGGTACATGCATGTGCAGATACACACGAGTGTGTACACACACATACA